ACTGAAATTGTATCAGAGCTGAATTTTTCTACTTTGTAAGCAGAAGGAATTTCATCATATATTGGTTTCACTATGCTATACTTGTTCGACTCTGTTGGAAATAAAATAAATAATAATCGTTCATTTATAGACCCCGTCGGTGCCTAGCTTCTGTGCCACCCGAAGGATGCACGAGGACTGGGATACTGCCAGTCCAAGTTTAAAAATGGGAAGTCGGGGTGCAGAGATCGGGTTCAAACCACGGACCTTTCACGGCTCTAACCACTGAGACATCTTGCCCTCTGTTTAGAATAATCATCATTCTAACGAGTCTCGTTCCTCATTTCAACCTTTGACTAGTAGGTCTGACACCAATCACATGTTGAGCACTACCGGTAACTTCTGTTTTGTCAGTTAAATCATCGCGCCGATGTCTGCGTGCACCTTTAAGCTGGTTGTCCATCATTCATACAACCCGTCCATCCTCTCAGCGAAGTTAGTCGTTTGGTGATGGAGAAATGTATCACTATCTTAAGTCTCCATTTTAGATGGCCCTCTAACGATCACCAAGGATGTGATTTTGCTGGGTTAACACTATGCCGTTACACGAACTGAGCTGTTCATATGGTGTTCAAGTCTCGTGGAAATCACATGCCTTTGTTGGACGGTGGATAAAAGACAGCGCAAATTTGATCTCCGGTTTGTAGTCAATCAATCTGACCTAGTGGATTAGTTCACTGATTTCCGCTATCCATGGTCGAGTATTTCATTCTGTCTGGCGGTACCCGTCCTAATATGTGCACATTTCGTTTCAGAAATAGAGACCTAATTAAAATAAATAAGTACAGGAATAATAGCAAACAGCCTCTAAGATCCGCGCACTTCGTAGGTGAACCGCTTCTCCCAATTCCTATCCGACCTTCCTCAGCATTGCTCAGTCGATCTTACCACTTGACTTGACCAAACCTGGGCCATGCTCTGAATACTCTTTAACCCGTGGGAACCATTTTACATTTTCGCTACGTATTAAACATGTTTGATCCTTAGCAGTGTTGTTGACTACTTTTGACAGACAGGGGAACATCAGAACGGCGTCACAATAGTCCGAATGTAACGGGAGCCCACCTGTCTTCAGCTAGTGATTTCATCTTTCTGTAGTTATGAACGTACACAACTGCTCGGTTGAATGAATTTATCTACCACGTGGGTCGACTCAGCTCCAAGCACCGTCTTGCGGTAGCAGATGTGAGACGCCCAACTGTTAAAAAGTGGAGGAATCACAGTTGAAGAACCTGCTCCCCCATTCGGAATTACGCTTTAGTACTCAAGTGAGCTCCCAGCCAGGTCAACAGTATTTGCTGTACCTGAAACCACCCCTAAATTGCATCCTGCGAGTATCTACAAGACCTGATTTTGCGAGTTTGCCGCATTAGTTTGAAACTCTAGGTGAACTGCTGTCGCAGACTCCCACACACTGCACAAGTTTCTTGCTTCCATTTTCTTCGCGTCTCGCGATCACGAAAAACCCTTGTTCTGTCTGCTGTTTGTGTTTTGCATGGATGACGGCGATGTCACAGAAGCTAGAGCCATCCGCATACATCGTTGCTGCTCAATCCAAGGTATGCGTTCAAAACACTAGCTTACTTTCCTCTGCGCCGGGCAGATGATGTGCAGTACAGATTGACGTTGGGGTCAGCTTGATGGACCCACACACCTGGCTCGTTATCTATCCACGGAAATAGCTATGACGTGAACTGACCACTGGCTGTGGGAACACTTTGATCCGTTTCGTCCTGAAATTCGCACCGCTGATGATTCCAACTAAGGATTAAACAGCTGTGCAATGCTTCTAGGCGTAGATTAACTTCACTTACGTAACGAAGTTCAAACTGAAAGAGCGTTCATCAAAGCCTGTTGTCTCCCTAGGTGTCACCACACCACGAAGACCAACTCACTCTCAAACTACGTTGGCCCGCGAAAAAAAAACCTGGATTGGGTTTCGACGCTCTGATTTTGTCCATTCGGTTTTTTTCAACCAATGTTGCAAACATACACTGTATCGCCTTCAGTTTTTTGTTTGCGGTATTTCGACTTTCTGATCAACCTGAGCTATTGGGTGAACCTAAATAGACCGAACTTCGTTCCGGCGTCGGTGCCCCTGACCTCAATCCCACTTCTCCAGTCTAGCGTATATGTTTCTACCTACTCAACAGCTATAAGTAGTATGGACTGTGCGATTTTCAGTCTGACTCAGGCAATCGAGAGTGAAGCAGGATAAGTGAATCACACCACTGATCAGCCTCTCATGATCGAACAGCTTCGTTTTCAACCACTAGTCGGGAGGTTCGGTGTTTGAGTCTCCTCGGAGATTCGTGAGATGCACACCGCTGATGATTCCCAGTAAAGCTTCCTGGCCTTGCGGCGCAGGCTAGCGCCACTCACAGCACAGTCAGGAGCACCTGTCCGATTGCGACCTTCAGACTACCCTTAGACCACATGCATGTAGGTTCGCGCCGAGCACTTCACAATTTAAAATATCGAGTCCTCTCGGCCCATCTTATTACCATACACAAGTGACGTATCGGTAGACACCAATAGTGATTTCTTCCCTTAACTCGCGAGGTGCAAAACGTGCTAAACGAAAGTGGAGTGAACAACAAAATTAAGCGGATACGTGCTCATGAATTGTGTTTGTCATCAAGAATGCGACAGATTTCTGTGCAAGTAGTGTTGATTTGTTCGCTTTGGTGAGCAACTCCTCGTTTATTGACAGGTATGTTGCGTTTTGGCGGTTTAACAGCAATCTTCTTCATATCTATCTCTTGACCAGTTTCGTACATGACAACAGCGCCAATGAAATCTGTTGTCTTTTTGAAGGCAGTATCGTTGATGCCCGACTGATGTACTGTTGTATGTAGTTTCACGCCTTCTGCCAAGAGCTGATCTTTTTGCAATTGCACGAGGACCGTTTGTTTGCTGCGTTGTCTGTGCTGAAATACAATGATATGTTTTCCTTCTTATCTAGTTTTGTGCTAAACTACACTGTCTCTCTTTGCGTTCGACAGACCTGGTCGACCACCATTTCTCGGGGTTACAGCTTCGGTTCCCATAGCAACGCGTACACGTCTGTCAACTACGGGCACAACTATTCGACCCAAGATTGGTGATCACTCGGTGTCCGTCCTTCTGGGAGATCTCCCGCCCACAGCAGAATCTGAGGGATGCCAAGCTCAGGTAGTTAGGCTCTCCGCCATTTGCGATTTGTTCTTCCGATATCGTTTGCCAATTCTGCTTTTGCTGATTAGCACACTTCGCTGTGGTGAATATAGCACCATAAATGGTGTACGAAAAAAGCGGTTCACAGCATAGTTTTTCTAGTTGGTATTCTGGGTGTATAACCCTTGGATTGGAAGTGGACCGCTTTTTGCAAGTTCTGCTCGACTGTGGTTTGAAAACGACCGTTTCCTCTTTGTTTCACGGCACAACTGCTGTAGGTTTTTAGGAAGACTGTGGCTTGCCCCTGAAAGATGAGACACATTGCTGGAAATACAAGACTCTCCCCTAAATGGAAACGCTGTTCAGGTTCAACTAAACCAACTTCGAGCTGTTGTTTTGTGACAGGGTTAGTCTAAAACAAAGCTGGAAGGTAATGGGGGTAACCCGGAGCAGTATGACAAATTTCACTGCTACTTGACCTCACACAGACGAAGATGGAAAGGAGATGGATCTGTGGGGGCATCTCTGTTCGGGACAGTAGATACACCGGTATTGACACAGATGACATGACTGTAGCGAACAGTTGATCTGGCAGTAGGAATCACAGTTGTGGTTTATCAAACATGCCCATTTAGATGCAGCACAACTGCGAAAGTTCGAACAATAATAAATATCTGTAGCAATTCGGAAGACTGTAGGGGGAAGTTGTAACGGCCAGCGGCGGCCTCTGCTCGGCAGCCGGTACATTAAATGAACTTACTTAACAAACGAAACGGTGTGCAGATGAACGGGTGTGATACATGAGGGCTATCAGACTACTAGTGGGAAGCAGTTACTGATGAGCGTAAATATCGAACAAACAGACGGGTTACAGACAATGAATGGTCAGTGGACACCAAACGGGCTTCAAAGCTTCACAGGTCCAGATATCCAACATAGCACCTAACCGTCACGTCAACTGTGTGCTTGAACTGCGCAATGAGTGGAACGGGCCTGGACAGAACGACCGGGGATACGTTCTGAGCGATGTGACCTTGGTCCCGTTGCCCTTGGCCAGAGGGCTAGTGACCTGAAATCGGCACACGTTCGTTTCCGGGCCAGACCAGCTTTCGGTAACGAACATAAACAGCGGTGCAAAGATGAACATGAAGGCGCCAGTAGTGAGGGCTATGGGACGTAATTTAACTGTCCATTGTATGAATCACCAACCGAAGTTCGTATTGGAGAGAATGGGGAAACCCGAATAGCTCTGTTTAAAATCACGGGGAATTCAAACTGTTTGGCTGCAGCCTGAGATGACGTACATTTTGAACACTTTAATTCATGTAAGGAGTCAGTGGGCATGAAATCTCCCTCCTGTCAGGTACCGTTACCTGGAAAACCAACCAAGCAAATAGCGTTGCATCGCTCCTGAAAGGTCGCATCTTATTTTGCGAGCTGAAATTCGAACCACGGACCTTCCGGTCAGTAAACTCGCGCTCCAACCACGTGAGGCATTGTGAAGTACTCTGATAGTTTTCGAGAAATACACTCATTTGCAAACCAATTTGGTTTTCACGAGAGACTCAACCGAATCTCTCGTTTATGACGTCTTACAACTGAATGTGCTGCACACAGTCCGCCTCATGTTTCAGTTGGCACGATATTCGAGATATCGCAGTATATTTTCATGAAGGAAACTACTCACAAGGTTGCTGGAGGACATCATAAACG